AGGGAGCGAATATCAGCTTCTCAAGGATGACCGTTCCACGAATCGAAGTCCTTGCCAACAGCGGAAGACTAACAGGCGAGTACTAAGATAAACATAGTAACGTTTAAATAATGACACATTAAATATTATGACGCCAAGATGATTATTATGATAATAACAAGACTAGCCTCAAGGAGTATGTCGGAAGGCCACAGATGGCAACGGTGCTAATTCTCATTTCCTTGTTCAGCCAAAGACACGCGACTAATTAAAATAAGTTGCGCTGTGCACATAAACGGAACTTATCCAGCCGCGTCCAAGAGCGACTTTACTCCAAACATGAGAGAAATTGCTCAAGTATCTGGTACAGACGCCGTCTTCTTGATCCTCCAAGACATTAAATCCTAGTAACTTCGTTCCACGGCAGGAATGGATAACGGACGGAAAATAATACAAACACAATCGTTCGGTATCTCCTAGACTCCTCCAATAACTTTATCTTAAACAGTGATAAATCTTATTTTTTTCTCCTAGCAAATCCCTGGACAGGAATCTTCAAGACCCTGGAGAGTCTGTGTAAATTCAGGAAAGTGGATATATCTCAGCTGGATCGATATATTTCTTAGCTTCCGCGGTCCCCTGTAAGGGTGAGGGGGTGGAGTAGGGGGGGGGGATGAATCCGCAAATAAATATACGCGCTCTGAACTCTGGTTGTCGCTGCTGTTCTATCCCCCGAGAGGGACCGAAGTCATGCACACACGTCGCGGCGTGACCTACGTGCGACTCTCGTTCGTGGCCAAGTGCTCACCTACTTTGAGGAAGCGACTGGAAAATCAAGACGCAGTTACATCAGCCAAAGGCTTTCAGAAATGTCACCGTGGTTCTATGTGCTTACTAAAACCAGCAACCACTCGGATGATGTACGTACATTCATCAGAGGAACACGGAAAAGTTTCTCTGCGGCTTCATAACGCGATCTTCTTGAGAAGCCACAAGTCGCTCAGACAGTGAACAAATTCTCTCTTTTATACACCCCGAAGGTTCAAGAACCGTGTCCTCAAGAGTCCGCCACAGGGTCCTATCCTGAGCCAGATGAATCCAATCCACATTCCCACGACCCAACCTGCGTCTTTAAGATTCACTCCTGTTTTCTCTTGATCTCCTATGCGGTCTCGTCTCTTCTGGTTTTCAAAAATTTTAAACAAGTTTTTAATTTCCTCCATGTATGCGACATACGCTAAGCCAGCTCAATCCAGTCGCGTGCGAAGCCAGTATGGGTCTCTCACCTTACGGTCGGGGTGTGTGGGAGGATGGGGAAAGAGGATTTCCAGTTTCCAGCCTCCTTCAAGATAAAACTTCTCTGGAGCATCGTGTTAATCCCGTACACGAGCGAATTGTTCTCTCATCTGCGGCGATCTCTGTTTTTCCGCGAACCCGGGTGTAGTCTGCCCCGTAGCCAAGACTTCAGAACCTTCAGATCTTGTGTGCAATTTCGCCGAAGAAGAGGAAATGAGAATTTCTCCCAGCAGAACAAACTTCAAACTGTCAGAAGCACTCAGCACGACTGAAGATATAAGTCTATTCAGATCTTTTGAAAACAAAGGGGAGAGATATTCCAATTCACAAAACGTATTCTGATAATTAGCACAGAGTCTTAAAAGATCACTCAACAGCTTCTGTTACTTGTCGCCTCCCACAAACTGACCACCAATGAGCGGGGGGGGGGGGGGGGGGGAATATGCTGACTGGCAGAAAACGACTTCAGTAAACATTGTCTCAAAATTCTTTAATCGATCATGAACAGAAAGCAGATTAATTTTATCCGCCCTGAAGCCAATGTCTATATTATTTTTTTTTATTTAGTGTTCTGTCTGACGACAGGTCCATATGAACAGGATCCTTCCATCCTTTTCTCGGACTGGGACCTGTTCATATACGTTCTTGGCAGATGATCCAGAAGTGGTTTGCCATTGCCTTCTTCTGTGTGTATGGAGTAATGAGTAATTGTTGGGATGCCACGGAGGAAAACTCCGTGTTGCCTAGACCACGGCCATGCCCAACACAAGTTATAAATTTCTCAGTAACTGTATGAGGTCTGACAAACGGAGTTAACACGTTCATTCCCATCACGGTCATCGGGAGGTCTCCCGAGAATCGATTTCATTACCTCGAGAGACACCAGTGCGTCACAGGACTAAATCGTTTACATCGGAGTTCAGTCTTCCACCAGGCTACACGGCGCAACCCCAGAAGACAGCCATCCACTGCTTATTCCGTTTCCTCCATCAGTAAAAGACAAACAGTAACATCCGTTTATGATTGCATCCTTTCACTCTACCGAAGCAAAATCCCAGGAGATTAAAATAAATTCCTACAGCAACGAAATATCTCCTTTATTGCGTAGCTCAAGAACCCCTGCACTATATGCAGCCCAACATGTGTCCTTAGTTGGCTAGTTGTCTAAAGCGAACGGCGTAGTACCCAGATGACCTTAAACACACCTGTCCCTAATACCAGTATCATACAAGATCTGCCCTACTCCCACAAAACTTCCAAGCTTATGATCACTCTTTCAAGAGATAAGAGCAGACGGGGAGGGTATATTATAATTAACTTCAATTTTAATTCAATATGAAGACCCAAATAACTGAAAGAACATGGCATTCCTCACACAAAATACAACCAGAAGTCAATTCACTGCCTTCTTCGGGCTTAATATAAAATTAAACTGCCCTAGCCCGGAACACCGCCACGGTGGTCTAGCGGTTAGAACGCTGGCCTTGTAATCCTGGGATCTCGGGTTTTATAACTTGTGTTGGGCAAGGCCGTGGTCTAGGAAACACGGAGATTTCCTCCGTGGCATCCCATTCACACACAGAAGATGGCAATGGCAAACCACTTCTGGATCTTCTGCCAAGAACGTATATGAACAGGTCTCAGTCCGAGAAAAGGATGGAAGGATTCTGTTCATATGGACCTGTCGTCAGACAGAACACTAAATAATAATAAGATGAGGTGGTCTAGCGGTTAGAACGCTGGCCTTGTAATCCTGGGGTCTCGGGTTCGAATTTATAACTTGTGTTGGGCAAGATCGTGGTCTAGGCAACACGGGGTTTTCCTCCGGGGGCTTCCCCGGTTACTCCGTGGCATCCGAGCAATTACTCCATTCACACACAGAAGCAGGCAATGGCAAACCACTTCTGGATCATCTGCCAAGAACGTATATGAACAGGTCCCAGTCCGAGAAAAGGATGGAAGGATCCTGTTCATATGGACCTGTCGTCAGACAGAACACTAAATAATAATAATAAGCCCGGAACCAGCCTAGTGTCGGTCTGAGACGAAGCCTCTAACTTAGGCTCTAGGGTATGATAATGATTTGCGTGGTAAGGGTTTCTGTACACCTCAAGGGGCTATAACAGGTGAGTATGGCGGTTTGTAATAACGATTAGCAGAGGAAAACAAAAGAACTCAGGTGAAAAACAACGTTTTAGTGCCACATCGTCCAACAGAGATCTCACTGTAAGTTATTCGGGATTCGATCCGGTTAAGAGAACCGGAAATAAGTCACACCTGTTAACCGAAAAATAATTTCGGTGCGAAGAAGCACTTCTCAGGTGTCGTTCCTTCCCATTACAACATCCTCAGACACCGCTGACAGTTTCGTAACGCGAAGGTCACTCAAGATTACGATACGGTCCAGTGGGTAGCCAGGTCATCATCAACGTAAAGGAAAGTTTCTATAAATGTACACCTCAGACACAACACAGCAAGAACACACCTCGAGGCAACAGATACAAACTAAAGCTTTGTTAGTGGATTCGTTACGAAGTATGAAATACAGATAATCCATGATTGCCTCTCTTTAACCGTCTAAGACCCAGTGGTAACTATATGTACCATCTGATTTACACAGTTAATAACTCTGCGCTTTGTATTTAAGTGCTTCGTATGATTCTCAGTGTAAACAGCGATTATTTCCTTAAACAGCGTTAAAACAGTTGTCATTTGAAATGGTGAAGTGTTGTGTTTTCTTTGCGGTACGGACTGAATTATTAAATGTTGTTTAGACGAGCTTCGGCTTCAGAGGTTTAAGTAAAGTTAGAGGTAACAGATGCCTTCAGGCACTTAGTTGAAAAACTTGAATGTAGGAGATCACTTGGAACACACACACAAAACCTGGGGTGGATTCGGTTCCTGGGCGGTGGAAAAAGAAATGCCTCAAAGCAGCCCCTTGCTACTTTAGAATCCGCCACCCGTTATAATCTTATCTGAAAAGCTACAACATAGTATGGTCGATAACTGTTGTTATTTAACCACGTACCATAACAACGTAGAGGCCGAATAGTTAACACTCCTTCGCATTTAGGAGGTCCGAGAGTGAAATCTTGGCAGTCGACCGGCTATCCTGACTTTTTCCGTGTAGTTTCTCAGTTACTCCAGCCAAATTCCAGGGATAGTGCCTTAAAATCAGGTTATGCCCGAAACCCAGCCACGCCCTTTCCAATCCATCGCCCGATAATCCTATCATTCGACACCGAATAAACTGAACTGCTGAAAAGATAGTTAAATAAATGTGGAAAAGATATAATCAGCCTTCATCTTAGTAGGTTTGATCATGAACATTCCCTATATATTTATTTATTTATTTAGTGTTCTGTCTGAGGACAGGTCCATATGAACAGGATCCTTCCATCCTTTTCTCGGACTGGGACCTGTTCATATACGTTCTTGGCAGATGATCCAGAAGTGGTTCGCCATTGCCTTCTTCTGTGTGTGAAAGGAGTAATTGTTGGGATGCCACGGAGGAAAACTCCGTGTTGCCTAGACCACGGCCTTGCCCAACACAAGTTATAAATTCGGGCACCGCCGGGAATCGAACCCGAGACCCCAGGATTACAAGGCCAGCGTTCTAACCGCTAGACCACCGTGGCTATTATTCCCTATATAGAGGTTTTTAAATTATTAACTCCCTTTTAATGTTCCGATTAATTAATGTTCATTTCCCCGGGTTGTTTCAGAACGGATACCCAGCTAGACGCCGATCTCTTGTTGACGACGCCCGTTTCGAGACGCTGGTAGTGAAGCAGACAAAGCAGTCCGTTCTTGAGGAAGCCCGCCAACGCTCCAACGGTAAGCGTACGACTTTTTCTGGTTTTGTCGAGAAAAACACTGAATCCGATATTGAAATGTTTTAGTTAACCTTGAACTCCGTGGTGAACGCTGGATTGCGAGTAACATACTACGCAAGGACGACAGAATTTAACTGGACTGTTCATTGTCTTATGTTTTTATGTTATGTTACGTTATGTTATGTTCATTATGTATCACTGCCTGCCTGCAAACTGCTACTACGATAATTTGCATTCTGCTGTCGAACAGTGTGGAACTACTGGACCTCTTACATAAATGTTTATGGAACCCGAAGGTTCATTACCGCATTCACAACAGCCCGCCAACCGATCCCGATCCAGAGCTAGATAAATCCAATCCACATTCCCAAACATTATTTCTGTAAGATACATTTTAATATTATATCTCGCACCAACAATTATTTATTTTCTGTGGCATGTTGCATGGTTGTCTGCACGTGTTTATTGTGTGTAGATGTTCCATCTGACAACGTCGAGGCGCCAGAAGAGAGAGTGTCAGAAGCAGAAACGGAAGTTGTTAATGACGTCACAACCGGGGTGGTGCTGGAAGGAGGTAAGAGCTGGGTTCTGATCAGACCGTCTAAAATCATTACCCCCTCCTCAATACTTCAGTCGGAAATGAAATTTACTTGGCAATGAAGATAATTTTTCAGTTATTCCGATTAAGAAATACGTGGACATTACAGAGTGGGGGGGGGAAATATTAAACGGGTGTTGTTGTTAATATTATTATTATTATCATATCGTCTGTATTATTTATAAACTGTTTCGCAAACTTTAAAGAGATCTCTGATTTAAACATTAGTGCAGTATTTTTTAATTCAGCAGTTATGTTACCGATCTACATTGAATTCCGTTGATTGGAGTTAGTGCAGGAACAAAATTATAATTCATTGCCTACAAATCAACTAATCTAGAGACGCTACGTTGCAATGTCCGGAGGTTTCGTACATACTTAACATCCTTTCTTCACCTCAAAACTAGACTAATTAGATTGTACTTCTAACCAATTTTCTTTTAGAATTACTTTTATAATAGTAGAGTACACAGGTCCATGCTAACTATAATTATGTTATTACAGAAAGGCCTTTAAATTCACGGGAGTTTCTTATATTTTTACAAGTTCCTTTAAATTACATCTGCAGCTGTAGCAGGCTGTGTGATCATATTGGTTCATCACGTGACTTTCCTGGTTCTGAAATTGTCTCGGTCAGGTATTAAACTACTAAGCTAGCATGGTAATTTTTGATGTTGCATGACGTATGTGTGTGTGCCACTGACAGCAGAAAACCATCAAAGCTACGCAGAAGAACTCGAGGGACCCACAGAGGCACAACCAGAAATAACTAGCGCTCCCAGTGACGAACCAGAGAACCACGACATCAGGATTGGTGAGTGTCATTCAAAGTTTCGCGAACTTCTGTGCTGTCGTGTAGTTAAATTTTATGGACGACAGGAATTTTAAGTCTAACCTGACACTTGTAGAAATAAAACACTTTACATGGAAAATTTATTAATTTCATAGAAGTGAAATATAACAGATTAAACAGGGACTATCATTCTGAGTCACTAAATCATTTTAAATCAAATTTTCAATTTTAAACGTTTCTACGGTTATATGAACTAGTCAGACCAGCGAAATATTTGTTGAATTGGAGACGTTAGTGTGAACCTATGAATGTTGAAGATCTTTTAACTTCGTTTTAATAACATTAAACAACCCACTCATAAGCTTCCAAGTACTAGAAACATCCCTTTGAAGGCAATCAATTCTCACTGCAGTTTTAGACCAGACTTCCTCCAGTGGCACGTGAGACGGGAGAACACAAGGCGTAGCAACAGGTAACGAACGATCTGTTCCACGAACAAAGGGGCTAATACGAGAACCGTGGTAGACTGAACTCTGTAGTGCAATTTAAGGCGAGATAAAAATTCTGAAGACGGAAGATAATAAAAGAACTTAACTGAAGTAAAAATTTCCTTTCTGCTCCATGAAAAAGTCAGGACATGGATGAAAGAAAAGTGCAGGTAGGAGACGGACAGCGTAGAGGGTGGGGGGTTATGGAATCAAAAAGGCAAATTCCTTCCTCTGCTCCTAGCCCATTACCCCATTCTCCATTGTGCAGCACTCTCGGCCCATTTCCTCTCTCTCGTCGTGTTCTAGACTGCACCCCAATCCGCCCCCTTATTCAGTCAGCCGTCACTTCAAAAGCTGAATTATACGGTCTCTGTGTGCGAACAACTGGGGGTGAGTGGAGATTCAGAAATTTTGTTAAATGCATCGAGACACATTCTCTGAGCACTTGGCGCAATTATGCTCCTAAAGAGAAAGAGAGAGATTGTCTGAACGAACACGTCGGTACACATTTAAACCTCTGTTCGCCTACGTGACCAGCGTCGGGTTAATTGTGCTCCAACGATTCTAAAACCACGCAATTCCTGTGTACTCAAAACTTTCAACTGAGCCCGATAAAGAATTATTAAAGCTCGTGAGTTTTCTCAGGAACCCAATGTCACAGCATAACAACGGATGTCACCCGAGCAGAGGTTTAACAAAAGGGAAATCAAATTCAGCCTCCTATCCAACGGGTACCGGGGTTCTTACCCCGAGTATAAATCGTGGCCTGGGCGTGACACTGACCACTCACCCCCATCTAGTGCCATGATCAAGAATGAGGAGCCCTCAACTCCCCCCCGCCAAGTGACTCCATGGCGTGTAACGAGACAGCTTTATTACCGATTCATCCAGCTGTCAATTCTGCTGAAATAATACAGACCTCGTGCAGTCATTTTACCAATTACGCTCGCTCGATTTAAAGAGTTTGATGAGTACCGAGTGCCGCATCGTTTACGTCATTTCAATTACGAGTTTAACTTTATTACGCGGTTAGTAACAGGCAACATGGCGGACGACGCGTGGAATTAATGGGGAGATGCGAAGACAATGCATCTTAATAATAATTATAATCGATACTAAAATGACGCATTTGTACAATAAAACAACTCATTTCCACGTAAAAGTACATGAGAACCCTCATCTTTTATAAATACAGCGAAACCTGAGTTCTACGTGAGTGAGATCATCTGCATGTGCCCATCTGTAAGTCCGCTTGAATCTAAATTCAATACAAAATCTTAAGTTCCAATGAGACATTGAAACTTAGTTTGGGTGAAACTTTGCGCAAAGGACATTCTCCCCTAAGTGTCGATGTATTTTTGTCAATGAAAATTCGACGAAATTCAATTCCAACCGTGAGCCCGAAAAAAGGATTTTTACGATTGGGTTTCCGTAATCATATCAAGAAAGACAAAACCTCTCCTCGCTTCACTGTGACACGAATAATACGCCTCTTATAGTTACGAGAGGGTTTGAGGAAGGAATCGGAACCTCCTTTTATGGTCTTCGACAATCAGCTATATACTGCGCTCACTGTCGTACAGCCTGTTCCAAAATACAGGTTCACTAATGGACACAGAAACAAGACCACACTTTTATCATGCAGTGTTTCGAAAGGAATTGGTCACACGTCTCGCGATACGTTTAATATAACATAAATACTACTGTTTCATAATATTTTTCTTAACCATGGTAAGTACTTCCTTAGCGTTCATAATGTACTGCAATGTGTAATCCACTACCGAACTAATTCCATGGAAGCCTTCTTGAGAAGCTGACAGTCTCTCAGCTAGTCAATAAATTCCTCGTCTTTACAGAACCTTAAGGTCCATCATCGTGCTAAAAAACCGTCAGCCACTGATGGCTAACCAGATCCACGTTAATCTTGTCCAAATCCTACTTCCTCCTTAAGGTCAGTTGCGCCTAGTTCTTCTAAATTGTCCGTTTAGTCTCTTTTAAGATTTCCCGACTAAAATTACATACGCACTTCTAATCTGTTCCACGCATGCTACATGCCCTACCAAACTTAACCGCTCTGAATTGTTAGTACCCTTATCATATTCTGTGAAGAGTGGGGCTTTGAAGCGGAGGTTACCTTCAATTTAATTTTAATGTAACAAAAAATTGACTCCGGGCATCTAGAAGCAACGCGCGGTGTCACAAAGCGACGGCTGACTGACGAACAAACGGGTATGGTCCGTGTTCCAGATGCTGAGCTGACTGAGGAAGAGATGATCTTGGCAAACGCAGCCAGCGAAAGCAAAGAAGCTGAGCTGACCATTCAGAAGGCCGCCCTGGTCCTCAAGATGCGAGAAGGCATCGGATCTCTGGCAAGAATTCTCAAGGCCATCGAAGTAAGAACCAGCAGACTGCATTTCTTTCTCACTTCCGTCATTTCTCTGAATGCACCGAACTTCCGTTTGAAAAGAACGGACAGCGACTTCCTCCGACTATTATGATTCACGTCACAGTAAAACAATTCCATTACAGTCACCAGAAAATGGTAAACTATGAAGGCGACGGTACTCTGGGATAGTCTCATAGAAATTGACCGACGTTTCAGAGGTGCTTTCTGCCTCCATAATCAGGTCAAATATGATAATTATTGCGGCAGTAGGCACCTCTGAAACGTCGGTCGAATCGTATCATCATCTTCACGCTTACCGCCGTGAACACTAAAATCCCACGTGCAAATTATGATAACAGTTACAGTGGAAACGCCGTTCGACTGTTTTCAACCTTACGAGATAAAAACAAAAAGACGAGTTACGTCCTCCGGTTTCTAAGGAAGCCAGCCCAGGCACAGAACTGCGCATCGCCGCGTTCCATTTGCCCTTACAACGTCTGGAACTCCACTGTCGTGTGTTTCAGAATTTCAAGGGAACGGTGACCCACTTGGAAACGCGCACCTCGAAACAAACCGGCATGCAGTTCGACATTCTTGTACGAGTTGACATGTCCCGCCAGAACCTACTGTTGCTCATCCGGGCACTCCGCCAAAGCTCGTCCTTGGCTGGCGTCACACTCCTCGCAGACAACAGCGTCAGCATCAAGGGTGAGTCCTGCTGTCACCATCTTCATCCAGCAACTGAAACGTCTGCCGAAACGTCAGGATACCGTCGAGTTGTAAACTCTGGCTGAGAAATTCTTTTGACAAAGGAGGCTTAATTTTTGTAAATTTATTCACAAGAATTAGTAAGACGCGTAGGAATACCGAACGGCCCGGATTCAGTTACCATAGTAACGAGCTGATGTATTGGTTTCAGACCCGTGGTTTCCGAGACACGCATCTGACCTGGACAACTGCAACCATCTGATGACCAAGTACGAACCTGAGCTAGACATGAACCACCCTGGCTTCGCCGACAAGACCTACCGTGAGCGTCGCAAAACCATCGCTGAGATTGCCTTCTCTTACAAGTAGTAAGTCATTTGCAGTTCTTAGCCATCTGTGTCTCGATCAGTGGGACCAAAGTCTATTTAACCGTGATAGACGTTTTCCTTGACTTAAGATTTAAGGTTCTCACAGCGGTGATTACACAGATGGCTGTGTCTGGATTGTAGCGCCGACGCCCTGATGATGGACGCAGGAAGTATCTCTGAAACGTCGGTAAACTTCTACCGACTACAACACAAAAGAGAGACGCATCTTGATTCTCTGAACGTTCTTCACAACGCCTGTTTATTCATATGTTTTGGACATGTCAAATGAGTTACAGGCTTGCTTGATATGTAAGACGTTTCGGGAGTTGTAAATGCCTTTGTCTTCAGGTGATTAAAACGTTTCGTGGCGATGGTTAGGACTGAACACAATACCTTTTGACCTCATAAATGCACTCTGTGGACAACATGCAGAGTTAACGAACATTAAAGTCGGTGGTACGTACAATTACCACTTTGTTTTTTAAACTTCCCGAGTCAGAGATAAGGCCCTCAACGAGAAGTAAAATCTGACGTTTCAACAAAAACAATGGCAGGTATTTCCAGAGGAAGCTGCTACGATGTCAATTTGTCTACCATTAGACTCAATTTAACTTATCGAAACTGCATTTATCCGTGTCCACAACCGTGTTATATAATGAACACTGTAAATTTATGAAACGATCGTAAAACGCTTAAAACACTTTCTACAAAACAGTTTCATGAGCCAGAAATCACAAAACAAGCCTCACGAACTTTTCAAACCCATTTCACAGAATGTCCCGAACAGCAGGACACCTCCGACAAGTCCAAACAGTCGGAAGCCATATATATATATATATATATATAGGAGAAACCTTACAAAAAAGTCTGGTCTGCAACGTTCTGTGAAAATCATCACACGATTCAAAGGCTTTATTAACAGCGCACGTGAGGATTCTTTCGAATGATCTGACCTGTTTCTCATGGACTCCGCAAACACACACACTCTGTATTATAACTACTACTGTGGCTATTGTCACAATTACGAAACGCACACACAGCGTAACAAATCCAGTGCCTCTAGATTTTTCAATTTGTGAAGCTGTCTTACACATAGGGTAAACCCAGTAGGAGCTGGTGGGCAATATAAAATCTTACAAAAAATAGTCGAACGATTCCCGATTTATGAGATGACAACATCGTAAAAATACCTTACGTTTAATTATCCTCCAAACCGTACGACTTACGGAAAAAGATTTCTGCACATACGATGCCTAATTCTGTTCAAACGCTAATCGCTTCGATAAAGATCGATATTATCTGAAAACCCCATTCACCTCTACAAATAAAATGATATTTAAGGCTGTGAGTACTACTATTATATAGATATATACCTTCTGGTATGTCGCGCCGTGCAATCTGGTAGATACTGACCGACGTTTCAGAGGCGTTTACTGCCATCATCAAGGTGGTCATCGTTCACCGCGCAACAAATCACAGGACAGCCATCTTCGTGCTCGTTGTTTTGTCTGATCGTAATGTGTCGACTGACGGACCGAATGTTGGCTGTGGGTTACAGCGGCGACCCAATCCCGCGCATAGACTACACCGCCGAAGAAATCTCGACGTGGAAGGCAGTCTTCGACACGGTACTCGACCTCATGCCCAAACACGCCTGCAGCGAGTACAGTCGGGTCTTCAAGATGCTTCAGGACGACGGCATCTTCAGGCCTGACCGCATCCCTCAGCTCGAGGAAATGTCCGCCTTCATGAAGAGTGAGTACCGACTGCATCGGAGGGCGCTCCGATGTTCTATCATTCTTCCAAATCGTCTCTCTAGTTTCTTTGCAGACATTTGCTCTAGAGATACTCTTTGGCCGTCCATTATCATATATTCGTCGATGTACTACGAGTAGTAACAAATAATTTCTTCTTAATTATAACATTTCTAATAATTTCTAGTGTTATAAATATGTTGCTGTCCTTGGTCCATATTCACCATTTCTCGTCGACTCGCGGACCACTGGGTTATAAATTAGGTAAATTTATTGAAACTCCAGAGGAAATCCTTATATAACTCAATAATCTTCTATAATAATATCTGTAATTCATTAGATAGTTAATGTGACAATGCGATGTACAAGCCCAGAACGCCAAAATTATTAATTACGTTGCATTTAATTGCTGCATTATAAACTTAGGCCTATGTTCCATACCCATAACATCAACAGCACAAGATGTGAATTACTAGAAATCTGTGCAGTATCAAAGTACGCTTAGTGAGTTTTGCCCGGAACGCCTTGCTCTAATATGGCACTGCAACAGCCAAGATATTCCGCGTTCTGAGACTACACCCCGAACACTCATTCTTTGGTAAACGTCCTAGGATCGAATTTTGGCGCTCTCCGATTTCAGAACACACCGGCTTCACATTGCGTCCGGCCGCTGGTCTGCTGACAGCCCGAGACTTCTTGGCCAGTCTCGCTTTCCGTGTGTTCCAGAGCACACAGTACGTGAGACACACCTCTTCTCCATACCACACACCAGAGCCGTAAGTATCAGAGACAGAACTGGCCTTCCTCTGGAAACCAAACTCGCCTAAATAGCATTTAAGAATTCAGTCCGTACCGCAAAGAAAACAAAACACTTCACCATTACAAAGATCAGCTTCTTGATGCGATTTAAGAAAATAACCCCTCTTTACACAGAGAATCATAAAAAAAACATATAAAATCCGTGGGCAAAACAAACTTTTAAAATGGGTAGTACGTATTCTTACCACTGAGATGTAAAGGTTTAAACACTGAAGCTAGAGAAACACTTCGGGAAAAAATTAATATTTGTGATCAGCTTCACAATTTCAAACAGACAGGTCTAATATTTAAAGGCATTAAAATACTTCAATTAAAACACTATTCTTAACTGACACAAGCTTTAAAATGATTATTCTTGGCTGCCAAACAACACACGTTTAATTTCAAATGTAGTCTAAATCGAAGTCTATAAACATTCCAGTCCTAGTAATAACACTTAAAAGATATTTCTGTCCGGAATTTACGTACAACACTTGAAAACTTACGTACGCAACAGTATTCAAAGTTCCCAAGCGAGAGCATCCAACCAAAAAAAACTAACTTTCAGCGAAGTTAAAATTGGTTCACAATTAATAAATTCGACCAGTTTCTATATAACTGAAGAAACCAGCATTAACGTTTAATTTAATTTCGTATATGAATGAGATTTTTTTTAAAAAATATTTCCTCAATACTTCAAAATTCATTCCCAGAGCCCTAGTGGCTTCTCTGAATCCAGAAAGGATTCAGAAATAGTAAACCTAAGCAGTACCTCACAGCCTAAAGTGCATCAAGATCAAAAGAACAGCAGAACTTCAGAATCATCTCAAATGAAACAAAGAAAGCATGACGGGCTACTCGCCTCTTCTAGAGCCCGATATATTGACTCTTCAATTCACCCACAAATTACTACAGAATAAAATGCCACTTAGACTGGAACGAAGCAAAACATTGACGTCATTCTGGACAGTATAAATACACAAAAATTTCATTTCGAAGAGAACATTTAAGAGCAGTAAGAATTATTAGAACACTGAGCTGAAAGCGAGGTCATGAAGCCAGGTGTGAAAGTTAATGAATTATGTAAAAATTAATAAATAAATATCAAACACAACACGTCGACAGAATTGTTAAGATACAAAACACCGCAATATTACTGCAAATTTTATATGAGCGTATATAATAAAATTAACATAAATTATAGCCCAGAAAAATAAAACAATATAAATATTAATATTATAAACAAATGTCCAGTTCACCTTCTGAAGTAACCTGTACATTTTACTAAGTTATTAAGCTGACTTAAAATTAATAACAGAACAGATGCAGAACTGTTCATGATCAATGCTAACAGAAATATGAAACTGACTTAAGCCCTTGTTCGTAAAACTCTATTTTAGCATGGACAGTGCATTCCAAGTTTCTATTTCAGATGACGAACGCAGATATGTTCCGCTATCTGAACTGATTTGTTCTTTTAATCCGATACACGCACAGAATTTTAAGAGGATCCTTAATCGCGTTGCATTACTTACAATCATTTGGTACTAAATTTACTAGTTCCCTTGTCTCTCTGGTATATATAAATACCAGTGTTGTTATTGGCTGTGAGCCTTTAGGATGCCATCTTATTGCAAAAATTACGGATGTTGGCTTTGTTCCACTGGACCGAAAAATACTGCGTACAAAGCATCAGAAAATGTTCAACAGTATTAATTCGCACGGTTTAATTACGGGCAAGACTTATTTGCTAAGACTGGAATTATAAATGTCGCAGATTTTACGTGATATAAAAATCATTCGTGTGTCAATAACATATTATAACCTGTCCAGAGCGTAACGGGGGGGAGTGAAGTGGCCGGAGCGTGCAGCTGACAACTCATCTCCACTCCGGTACCCCCTTCCCACGTCTTCACTGCGTGCTACATGCACAGAATAAAGAGTTGTACAATCATCAGAATAAGAAACTGGACTCATATAAGAATACATTGGAGAAAAACCAATTTGCATCTGGAGTTTGGAACACATCTCTCAGCAGGAGCTGTTGAGCGGACGAAAATGTTTCACGTAAAATTCAGATCTTTAGAAATAAGGAAGCCAATGACAATGGCCGCGCAGTCGCAGGGATACTGGGTTCAAATCCCACCCAATGCATGAATGTTTGTGACGTGTCGCCCTGTAGATGAGGGCCTTGCGACCGTCTGTCTGACCACCCGTACAAGGAGACCTATGAAGTTATGTTACGTCAGAAAGATAGATAGAGACACGTAAAATAATTCCATACCTCTTGTTTGCACGAGTAAGTGTACGTCCAATGAACTGCGCAAACCTTGCAGAAAAATACGAATCCTTTCAGAAAAAAGAAACCTATAGAACAAACTGCACTTTTGTGGATTTTTTCTTATATCCTCAGTCAAGAAATTTGGATTCAACTACTTTAATACAGTTTTAATGCGTTGCTATGGAGATGCTCCAGTGTAAAAAAAAACCAGAAATACGAGAGTCCCTCCTTTTCCAGAGTGCATAAGCACCGGGCGTTAGGATCCGGAGACACAATCTGTACGAAGCCATAAATGAAATATCTGTCGCTGTTAAGTGGTTCACACATTCATGAAATGGAAATGTTTGACGAGGGCCTTTTTCAGGGCAGCGCTGTCAGAAGACATTACAACAGCAGAGCTAAAAGCCAATCATTTTCCAACTCTTTCTCAACAATTCGATTACCCAGTATCAATGTTCCGTAGCATAGCAATGATGAGACTGCTAATAGCATCACATCACTAAAAGCTTCAGTTAATTGGTACGAGATGAAGTGGGTCCTCCCTCCTTCGTATCCCTTCCCCTCCTTTCCAGAGCGAATACCCTGTCACAACCATACGCAGTCTCACTACAGACATCGGCACACGGTGAACTGACTTAAGAACCTATTTCTGGAGATGTCCGGTCCGAATTGACAACAAGTAATCGTCTGTCTTGACAAAGGCATAATCGTGGTTATTCCTGTGATAGTCGTGTCTTAAAACAAGCAACCCAGACGGTTTATTGTTACGTGAGCTCATCTTTTCTCCATCCAGACTCGTTCGGAATTTTGTGGTCATGACCCCAGAAGGGGAAAATATCATAAACAAACGACAAACAGCTGCGGGCTGTAACAGTGTTTATGAACTCTGTTTATGGACGGGAAAGTCTTCCCGCACAATTACACACAACCGAAGGCATGATGACGTAATGACCCAGGCTGGCACAGATCTAGGTGGGCATGACACGCGTTGAGATCCTAGAAATAACAACAAACATGCAACAGTGTCATAAAAATAGGTTTCGCTGAACTAGTTTCACGTCTCGACGGTGTACATTTCATCGCATAAATAAGGAAACTGAAGAACACTTCGTTAGCGTGAGGACGGACGTACACGCCCACACGTCATGCTGACCTCGAGCAATGAAATTCCTATAGGCTGCCCGGCTCAGTAATGTGCTTGCTGGAAACAACTCATTAAAACACCCAATTTTGAAAGCAGATATTCGTTTACAGCAAAACTTCCTAAAGTTTTCTGAACACGTAGAAGGCGATGAAGTCTTCCTAGACGATCAGCCGCGTCGAGAAGTAGTACACGTCCGACGTTTCGGGTATATAACAAATAAAAGCGGGCAACAAGCACTTTAATTTTAAAACCGCTATCAATCACGTCCGCGGACCCTCAATCTCAAAAAGAAAGAACACTTTTTTCGATTCCTCTTCTTACACTGTATATATGAGTGGCTTCTGGTAGATTCCCACAGACAATTCCATTTTAAGAAACGATTATCATGGACAAACGCTGGGTGGTGACCGTGAAACTCTCTGACTACAGCTGACCTACTGACTTGTTCGTGGACAACGGAAACTGGGATTTGGAAGGTGTTAAATACCCCCCCCCCAGAACTATAGTTTTTAACCTAAAAATTATAATTACGCACACCTTCTGAATGCATTCCATTAATTACTTTGACCGACATAGCTTAAAGGGAAAACAATACGTCAGCGACGCGAGGTATGGAATTCTTTGGTGATATCTTCAATATAATCTTCGTAATAATAACTTTGTATTACACCCTCGTTTGCTTTATTATGCACTTCAAACAAATCATTGATTTCATCGCCTAAGATACGATTTCTCTGTTCGAAAATAACTTTGCGTTGGTCATCAAACTTTAGCAAAAAACTTCCGCACATCATAATTGTTCCCGAAAACCCGAGATTGAAACGTGACACAGAATGCGAGTCATTTTATACGTCCCCTGTTGCAGAGACTGCATCCACGAGATGCTGGGTCACATGCCCCTGCTAGCTGATCCCAGCTTCGCACAATTCTCCCAGGAAATCGGGCTCGCTTCCCTTGGAGCGTCGGACGCAGAGATCGAGAAGCTGTCCACAGTAAGTACCAACCTCATTATCGAAGAAGATTTTTATTTTGTCTGAAAATCTCTTCTGGGTCAATGTCTAACACACTGAATCTCTTACAGTCCCTATTTAATTTATCCTCGAACTTTTGCCTGCCCCTGCACTGTTTTCCCTTGTGCTAGGTGTATTGGTTCACCGTCGAATTTGGGCTGTGCAAGGAGGCCGGTCAGGTGAAAGCGTACGGCGCCGGTCTGCTGTCCAGCTACGGCGAGCTGTTGCACGCCATTTCCGACAAGCCAGAACACCGGCCCTTCGAGCCCGCCCTAACAGCAGTTCAGCCTTATCAGGACCAGGAATATCAACCGATTTACTACGTGGCCGAAAGCTTCGAGGACGCTAAGGACAAGTTCAGGTAAGCAGCGCCGTCACTGGTCTTTGGTGTAAAAACCTAAGGAAATTTGCGAAGGCGCCATATTATTTCAAACCAGTCCACTTACACACAACCTAACAATACAGAGAAATAATAAAATCAGTACCTACCTTGATAAAACAAGACAATTTAGGGTAAGACAGAAATGTTCTCGAAAACTGTACACCCATTTATGTTCCTTAAAGTGAAAAGAATATTGGCATAGCATCAGTGTTTCAAATACCTTCTCATGTTACACGTTAAAATTTAAAAAGTAAATATGTGACAAGCAGCCCCGGTCTCCCCTATAAGAGGAATGTTTATTAATAAAACCCAAGTGCTGGATTCCACATGAGCACCGTCAACGTATCATCACTGTAAAAGCTTCCAACGAAACTGCTGAATACATTCTCCAGCAAACGATCTTTGAATCAAAATCACGTCTCTCTTTACAGACGGTGGGTGGCTACGGGAATGTCCCGAGCTTTCGAGGTGCGTTATAACCCACACACCCAGCGCATAGAAGTTCTGGACTCCATCGAACGACTGGAGAGTCTCATGTCCCAGATGAATCTCGAGATGTTGCACCTCAACAACGCATACCGCAAGCTCAAGAACTCAGCGCTGGCGTAAAATCACGACACTAAGCTACGCGGCTGTCCACTTCATCCACTCCACTCACTGTTCACGAATCCTCCTCTCACTTGCACTCGATGCTGACGAGAGAAATGGTCCCATGGCCCTTACATATCCCTTTGTTTCTTAGACCACGAAACACAGGCGCAATCACATGTAATCTAACTGCACTCAAGCACCATGTATGATTTTCCAAAGATTTCCACATTGCTATGTAATTGCTGTGCTGAGAAGTTAAGACACTCTTTAATTCGTTAGCTTCAGCTATCTTCTATTGCCTTGTCCAAATTTGACTTTGGTTGGAGAATACTGGCTGTTGTTTAACCCCGCTTTAACTACGTATTGCGCATAGCGTGTGCTCAATGGTTTCTTACAAGAATAAGTAGCCTTTATTTCCTTAAACACAACTTTCAAACTGAGTTGTCATAGAGACGTGATGTTTTCTTTGAGGTAGGAACCAAAATTTTAAGAAGAACTTTGGGCGTCAAAAGATTAAACAACAGTGTGATGAGAGGAAGATGATGAAGTCTTAAACGTTCACTCCTTTCGTGGAAGGTTCGTAGTACTCCTCCCTTTAGAAAGCTCTGGCAACCTCCACGGCACCACACGTCACGCGACTCTGAAACGGGGGAAGTCCCCAGGCCAGCAGTCCATGTGTCACGTGCTGGTAACATACCTGGAGGTGGCGTCATCAAGGTACCACGGTCGCGCGACAAACTAGCTGTCCATGCGACGCGATGGTAACTCCTGATACACAGAGCTCTCTCACGGTCGCCTGTATTCGATGTGCTTGACGGGCAATTTGGCCTCTCACCTTCCCATTATCCTCAAAGCACCCATCATGTTAAAAGCGATCGTCATCCTACAATTAGTATTATTATGTATAATGTATGTAAGCTCTTTGTCGTGCCTGTAACACGGCTTCCTTGATAATGAACTTCCGGTGTTACAAGATGTAGCGCATGTGACCGGCCCTTACCAAAACTCTTCAGTTTCCACCATTCGTAAACTGCAACTTCAGAAGAAACGTCTAATTTTTAAATATAAATTAAACAAAACCTTCTTGGTGGCTGGATAAGCATTTCTCAAAACTTCCCATATCTCATATACTTCATGCCACAAAATATTTTTCGACAAACAAACAAAGAAACTGGCATTACCCAGGAAGCTGTGTCCCGTCTACAGGGATGTTTGTCTGAATGAGTTGAATGAATTAATCTTTCATTAAATTAATTTTACTTATATTTTCATCTTTCTTTTTTCGTATTCTTGACTGAATGAATGTCGAGTGAATTGATTTCTGACAATAATTTCTGCAAATAATAAATATATTATTTTTGTATATTATATTTTTCATATCCTCCATGCACATCAGTAGTCATGTTCGCAAGTTTACCAACGAAATAGGAAGAAATTTGTTGATTTAAAAATTGGTTCTTCTGAATAGAGTTCAAAATATTACATTTTTCGTTCTTGCAATACAATTAATTATTACACAATAAATTTCCTTCTCGGTCAACCAGACCTTAAGATTTATCTAAATTAACAACTGCGAAGATGCTTTGAGTTTTGTTCGCATTAAGGCTCCTCTACGATCTTTTAAATGTACACGTGATATTGGGATATCGGGGGATTATTAATTTTAGTCTGTACAATTAAGAAAAGTATTATGTTTCAACAATTATTTAAATGTTTTCATACGAAACTACAACATAAGTTGCACAAGGTAACCAGAATATACACACTATTAGCACAATGCTTCAATGGATGCACATAATTTCTGCACATTAATTTGATTGATTTTTAATGACTGAAGAACCAATCATATATAAAATGCAAAATACACATAAAAATTGATGTAATAAAAACATGTTTGTTGTGGTTCTAATTTTTGTTTTGTGAGTTCTGCGGCAATTGTCGTAACCCGAGTTGAAGAGGTGACAGTTAAATGTATCCACCTTCAAAAATAAATGGAATTCAACTGCTGAACGTTCCTTCTTTTGTGTAGGCATTCATTTCTTTCCCACAAAGTGTTCTGAAAGTCACACCTCCAAATCCCTTTCCAATCTAATTCCTGCCACGTGTCCTGTTTAATAAAATTCATCTCATTTCTACCCGGCGTATATTTGAAGAGAGTGTAATTATTTATTTATAACACATACGAGAAACTTATGGACTTCCACGTCTGGACAAACTTTAATGTCGATAATGTTTAGTGACTTCTGTAGTACACAAGTTTTCTTACGGACGCTCTAAATATTCCCAGCTGTTGACAAAGAGTCTCTTCACTGTCGACAGAAAAAGGTACCAAACCATAGAAATTGCAGGAAAACTCAACTTTGCCAGGTTTTACCGCGGTTGTCTAGTTTGGTTAAATACGGACTTCCTCATTAAGAGGAGAATACAGAGAGAGTTTGAGAACAGGGTGCCGAGATTATCTGGACAAACGGGGAATGAAATGACAGATGTCTGGAGACAACTGTTTAACGAAGACTTTTTGCATTTTTCGCCCGAAAGACAAGACTGCATAATAGAGGATGGGGCCGGCATGCAGCAGGCATGGGCACGATAATACAAGCTCACAATTTATTTTACGAAATACCAGAAGGAAAGGGACAATTGCGAAGACCTGGGCGTAAATGTGAGGGTAATATTTAAACGAATCGAAAGAAAACAGGATGATAGAGAGTGAGAAGGATTCAGCTGGCTCAGGATAAGCTCCAGTAACTGGCACTAGAACACTGTAATGAACCTTCGCGTTCCATAAAGCGATGTGGATTTCTTGAGAGACTGTCAGCTTCACAAACCGGACCGTGCTTCATGGAGTTAGTACATGAATTCTCCTTCTGAACATGGTAGCTGGCGTCTGTTGCAACGACGTAGTATTCAGCGGCCCACCTTAAATGTTGTTTTAGAAAGAAATACTACTTCTCCCCCCATTGTGCATTCACTTTATGGTTTTATTTCGGGCACGGTGTTTCCACACTGCTCCGCGTTAGTTCAAGGTTCTCTCTCTCTATCATCCGTTTCGGCCGAATGCCTCAGACCAAAGAATCCAAAACTTTATGCAGAATATAAGTACACGGCTAGTGTACATTTTTAATTGTTCAGTTTCGTTCGGAGCAAAATGACCGAAGTTGAAACCTTTCGAAAAATTCCGTACTGAAATAACTACCTAACATCCCCTTACAGGCCTCCACCCGCGTCTATCAGGTGTAGAAGAAGTTGCCGCAGAGTCAAGGCGCCATGTATTTACAATCTTCTAAGCACAAATCTAGAAAGTACGCAGAATAGGCTTACACTCATCACGAGGGTGTCCTGTATTTGTCACAAAGTGTCTGTTAATACGCGTTGAGACAGTCCACTGTCACCACATCAAGTCATGGAAGGAGGAGACGGCTCCACACGCGCTGAAAGGGCAATAACAGTCACCAGAAGAGGAATGGTCCGGTCCTCCAACATAAGTGCTGGACACAGGTTTTAAAAACATTACACCACAAAAATATTCCCAGTTACAAAAACTTCGCTGATACCTCGGAACTGGTCGGGATCGTTCGGAACGACGAACAGCCTTCAAGGAACATGATTTGAGGGTGTCCGGGGGATGAAACTGGCTCAGTGTCTTGTCAAAAGGCGATATTGTCTGCTACTACGGGTTGAAAACTCCATCTGCGCAGACGCTGTGATAACGGTACAATTCGCAATCTCAGGCTCGGCATATTAAATGGAATTAGCTTCAAGTCCCGGTAGCTTTAACCCCAAGGAAAATGATCCCTGTACTAAATGGACAGGAGAAAGTTTGGGGCCCAGAGACGGTCTGCTCGCGACGGCGAAGAGAAAACTTCTCTGCCCTATTTGGTTTTACTGTGAATGTTCTTAAGACTTTATTCATTAAAGTAAAGTTATTCGGCTACACGCCATGAAGGCGCTTGGGGGAAGATAAGACAGTTTATACTTGTTTTGATCTCTGCACTAGATGGGGGTGAGTAGTCAGCGTCACGCCCAGACCACGATTTACCCCAGGGAAAGGACCCTCGGTACCCATTGGACAGGAAGTTGGGTGGGCCACAGAACCAGTCTGGAGGAAAACTCAATTACCCCTGCCCTGGAACTAAACTCAACAGTCTTAATCGTAGTAAGACACTGTATTAAATGATTTATCCCGGCTAACGAAGATTTTAAAATAACTGGAAAACGAAGTATGCGGTAATTTTAAAGCAGATGTAAGTAAACTGCGTTGCGACGCGACTGACACAGCAGTGGAATGAGACCGCGTATGACGACGATCCCTTCGCCGACTGTACGAGCTCAGTATTTTTAGAGGTTGCTGCTAGCTACTGCTGCCGCCTAGTTCACTTAACACGAGAGCCGTAAGCCGCTCTGCGAGTGAGGTGACGGCTTCTGTCTGCTCCGGACATCGCGTTCAAGTGCTAAACCGCTGTCTCGCGCATGATACATACAGCAGATTCATGTCACAACTGACCGCGACCAGAGAATCCGACGACAGAACGACAGTTTCTAATAAAAGGTAAGACCGCAAATGAGTTCGTACGTTTTTACTTAAATGTATTGTAAATGTAGTAAGAAAAAAAACACATCCAAGAAGAAACTTAAGAGTGGATTCCGTTCTGTAACAAACTTCCATTCTTTCAGACCGTAATTTGTCTACTTCTCGTTTCCTAACTATGAACTTGCTGATTAAAGCGTACAAAATCAATCCTACATAAAATTACTGTACCTACTGCTTTATATAGGCACTAGAAAATCGCCCGTCAAGATTGAAGCAAAACCTAAAATTTTAATTAAAAAACATTTTATTGAAAACTGTAATAAATAATTACTTACCTCAGCGTAATTAAAGAATACGATACGATCTTATATCGAGGTTACAATAACTCTGATATGTTAAACAGAATTACACGCTCATAATAGTCTATCATAATACACTTTCTTTGTTCTGAGAAAACTAACAAGTAGTGTACTCCATGTTAAATCTTGACAAATTGAGTCACTTCGTGTTTCCCAGCACTATAGCAGTTAACATCTACGTTTTACATCCAAATGGATCCAGATCTCATCCAAAACGCTGTCACTCTTATATAAAAAGTTAATAAATAAAAAAAACATGCCACTGTAATCGCAAATAATGAGTTTAAAACAGGAGTACAGCCAACTCCCGAAACGTCACGTATTTTAAAAATACCCCAGACAATGGGCAATGTCCAAGATCACTGCTGCAACCAACCACGTGACCTACGATACGCACGTGTCTATACCGTAACGTAATTACACGCATCAACATTATATGCATTAAAAGACGACGTTTCAATCACCAAGTTTCTTTCATTTGACTTTAACAGAGATCCAGATTCATCGCTCGCGTTCGAGAAGCAAATCAGTCCATCGCCTCAGACGGGCACCAGATGACGCCCTGAGGGGTAAACATGACCTCGAACGCCATCCGCGGGATACGCCGCAAGAAATCTTCGCTATCGGAGGTGAAGGTGGCCGTCATAGGCGCACCAGCCGTGGGTAAAAGTGGTGAGTACTCGGAAAACAAAAAAAACTATGACAGCTCCTCTGAGCACGGAGATGGACCAAAGCGTTCCATGAAAGGGAGAGTATTATTTGGAATGGGAAAGACTGTCTCTGTGGCAACGCGGCCTCTAACGGGCCTATGTCCAATCTGGAGCAGCGGTAGGATGACGTTACTCGTGACAGGAGTAAACTTAAGAACTCATCAGAGAAAAATCTATCTCACTGTCACTTCACACACCACAAATCCCACACGGGTTGCTTTGTGCGCGAACCCGGGCATCCGCGGTCAGAATCCTGCCACTAGCCACCTGATCCATGGTACGGCCCAAAAGGCGATGAATTTATTGGCCAGCTGAGCGACTATTAGATTCTCAAGGCCGGTTCTACTACACGCAGTGAGTTTCTCGATCGCATAACTAAAAATCCCCAACTCATTATAAACGGGAATTATTTCCTTAAACAGCGTTAACCACTTGATCTATGTAATAGTGAAGTGTTTTCTTTGCGGTAAGGACTCAATCCCTTATATATTATTTTTAAAAGTGAACAATTTTCTTGAGTATGTTATGGTTAACAAACAACTCGATAAAAGGAGTTTGTAAAGCGAAATAAACTTGAAGAATATTTTGCATATTCTGAACATACGATATCAATTCTTAACAGACAAATGCAAAGGACAGAGACATGCGAAGTTAAGTGCTCAAATACATTCATCAATTGCAAAAACAATTTAAAATGTTTGTTGTATCAGCTCGATTTCTTCCGTCTTGTAATTCAGTGCACACTTTTCTTAACGAATATTTTGCCTTTTAAACCTCAGACTACTAATAGATTACGCGTGTTGGTTGTAACGTTTACACGGCGGGGAAACTCTGGGTGGATTTTTCGTTTCTATACCAAAGACATTTGCGAATAAAACGTCTGAGTCACCGCGGGAAACAAAAATACACACTTCGGCATTCGCTCCATATAAATCGTTGAATCGTGGGCGAAAAAGAAACATTGATCCGCACAATAAAATCTGCTAGCTTCGAATTGCACAGATGAAGAGTAACGATCTGTTTATAGCCTATGACTGCGTGCAAACTACGGCCCGCGACAATATTCGGATACTACTTGATTATAGTTTATTTATTTATTATTTAGTGTTCCGTCTGACGACAGGTCCATATGAACAGGATCCTTCCATCCTTTTCTCGGACTGGGACCTGTTCATATACGTTCTTGGCAGATGATCCAGAAGTGGTTTGCCATTGCCTTCTTCTGCGTGTGAAAGGAGTAATTGTTGGGATGCCACGGAGAAACCGGGGAAGAAGCCCCCGGAGGAAAACTCCGTTGTTCTGTCTGACGACAGGTCCATATGAACAGGATCCTTCGATCCTTTTCTCGGACTGGGACCTGTTCATATACGTTCTTGGCAGATGATCCAGAAGTGGTTTGCCATTGCCTTCTTCTGTGTGTGAATGGAGAAACCGGGGAAGCCCCCGGAGGAAAACTCCGTGTTGCCTAGACCACGGCCTTGCCCAACACAAGTTATAAATTCGGGCTCAGAAGTTAAAAAATACATAATAAACACTTGCAGTATTCGAACGCCTCAGTAAAATTCTTGAAATAAAGAAAACTAAATTCACGTTTTCTTCAGTTACTCCTCCAATACAAAGTGATAATACAGAGATCACGGGAAAGTTTCAAAAGGATCCGTTTATACACGATTTCGTCAAAATATGAGAGACTGAAAGAAACATTGTTCAACACTTCGCTACGCGTAAAAAACGCCTGTCACTAATACGACAAAAGCGGGAAGTGATCGAATTAATAGCAGGTGAAATGTTGTAAGTGAAGTTCCATCACGATGACAACGTGTTGGCTCGATTCCACTCTGTTAGTTACGTCCAGCCCATGGATAATAGGGCTGTTTGTACTGATCCGCCATTATGCCACCCACTACCACAAGATCAGTGCGGGGAACATCAAGCCAGTGTTGTACTACAGTACAGACAGAGTCAAGATGGGAAGCGGTTCAATGATTAAGCACCGTGGAAGTGGTCGTAGTTTATTTTAAGATCAGTTTGTTTCTTCACTTCCTACGTGCTCTTTTTAAAGTGTTACGTCTGGCCTCGTGGCGCTGACTGTGCGTAAAGGTAATTACGAATCCAGGTCGTGAACATAAAAACCGAAGATCCACGTCGTGGCGTGGCACATTTTCACACTGAAACTTTCCTAGCCGCGTGTTGATCCAAAGAATATTCCTTCAAAATTTCTATTTGTTTAAGACCAGACGCATTACGAGGATCTGTTACGATAGTGACACGCAAAGATTGTGCAAAGCTTATCATTTTGCTGGAATTTGAAAGACGATGAAGGCTCGCGGAATTTTGATGAGGAAACCTGGGAAAAATTCCCCTCCGCCCAATCCAGCGCCTTGTGTGAAGACATCGCGACGCTCAGCGTCAGTTTGGCAGCGGCCTGTATGGGGTTCGAGGCTCGTGTGCGGATATCTGGATTCCTGCGTCGCCGTGCAGACGCTCGGCGTCCAGTCGACCGGTATCTCGAGGCTCTTCGCTTCAATCGGAATCTTCTTTTTGAGATGAAAGAATATTCGTCGCGATGTTCAGCGTCGTATGGTGTCTCGATTCTCGTCCTTCCTATATTCAGATTCTTCAAACACATCGTAGCTCAGAATGCGCTTTGTCAGAATCCCCCGATATATAGTCTGGCATCGTGAAACGAGTGTTGAACTCTGAAATAATATTTATATCCTTTTCTGACCAGATGTTGCACAGAATTGCTTTATCATTTGTGAAACATCAGCAGCACGTCTGTTATACAGAAGTGTCGATACACAAACGTTCTTCACACGACGTCAGGCCCAACAAAAACCAGCGACAGTTATCTGAAGAAGTACCAACACGAAAGAATGGTAACTACCGGCTCGAAGAATTAAAACAAAGCTCCTTCTAAAGAAAGAGCGAACTTATTCATTTTTCGTCTCTTAACCTAATAATCTCTTATTATAGTTTAATGAGTAAATTGGTGGTCTTAATTACCGGACAGATGTCTTTTAAATCGCTACCTTAATAATAATCACAAAAATACACGCTCCTTTATAAACCTCGTTAATTTATTTAATATTTCCAATCCACAATCTCTTAATATAGTAGGCGACTTTTTGGGCTATGATATCTCAGCCTATATTTTAACGGAAAATACATTTCTGTTAAGGCTTGTCATCTAGAAGAAACAGAGAATGTGATAAAACGGATAAATGTTGACGTCATGCTGGGCTGTGCAAGAGGATAACACAGATAACCTCCAACTCTGGCTCCGAGGCTTATGGGGAATGCACTCTGTTAAAACTATATATAAATTATGGATCGGTGAGGATTTTGTTGGGAACGGATACGACCAATTCTAAGTTCCGATTCCAAAAACTTATTCGTCATGAAACAGCTCTACCATGGTTAGGAATTTCTTTCGAAAGCCGACGAAAACGGTGCCTTCTGCCGCGATTTCAGCCTGAGATCAGTGGTGTACTTTGCCAGGGGAAGAAACTTTATGGTACGGCGTGCTGATAGAATTCAGCAGTTCACTACAAACATTTCGGCCCAAAACACATGTTGTTCAAGTCTCTCCACACTTTTTACTATGAACTATTTAACAGCGTAAATCTTCTAGTATTATAGTCAACATAACAGTGGTTGCAAATTTCTGCCCAAAACACGTGTTGTTCAAGTCTCTCCACACTTCTTACTATAAACTATTTAACAGCGTAAATCTTCAAGTATTATAGTCAACATAACAGTGGTTGAGTTGGTTCAACTTGTAAAATATTTGTTTATTTAGCGACGATGGCATAAGTCGCACCGTTTCGAATAAGAAGATTATGAACTGAAATTGTTTTAAGAATGTGAAATAATGACATATTCTATGCATTTGCCCTAGAATTTCCTGGAGATACTATAAAAACCCACAAAAGAGTTAAGTTAAATCAGAACAGACAGCCTCCAAACCCTGGAGCTTCCGAATAAAAATCCGAATTGCTAAGCAATCAACCGAGACAAACCAGCTGGACAATGATACTGTCGGGTAGCTGAAATGACGTACGTCTTCCTGCATACGCGTGACGACAGTCTTCGGCGAGTCGCGGTTCAAACTGAAACGCCTGTCGAGTCCTCTCAGCACATTTTCCGAAACACGTCGTGGTAAAGACTATGTACGGCATTATTACAACAGCGAATCAGAACCAGAAATTACGTGTGAGAACGCAGTCTTTGGGTTATTCCGACGTCCACGCCTTCAGTACTAACTAACTAACTAACTAGATGGCTTACCGAACCCGAAGGTTCATCACCGAATTAACCAAAGCCCTCCACCGGACCCTGTCCTGGGCCAACAAAATCCAGTCTCCTTCAACTCCTATCTCTCATAGATCCCACTTGATATTATCCTCCCATCTACGTCTAACATAAAACTTTCGTCCCTAAGACTGCCAAACTGACGTTCGCACATCTAAGATCCACCATCAGCCCATGAATGCTTCATTCAGTGACGCCTCTTCAAATCTCGAGCCACCACGTGCCTGCTCTTACTTATTTTAAGCACTACAAGTTTGTTATTAGACACTTGCTGTGATGAAGGTCGTGCTCTGTGGACATTACTGAAATGGAAAACGGCGGTGGATCTGTGAGCCAACACTAAACAAACAAAACGATGTTAATCTCAAACTCTACATTCTCATCTATGCAAGACATTGAATGATATTCATAACATGGTGCACAGAAAGAAATTCCACGAGTCATCGTCAGTCTTTGACATCTTCGACATTGAAATCGCAGTGTAAAAAACGCCTGTCTTCAGTTTCGGGAGAAATAAATCCGAGAACTCATGTTTTATCTCAATGACGGACAAGGTATACTTGCAGAAGGCAATTTCTGCCAATGAGATTCGATGTTTTCGAGGCAGTATCCTCCAAAACGTTGCCAACGCGCTGATATTCTCACCAA